GCAGCCCTGCCACCCCCGCAACAAAGAATTACTCAGCCCAATATGTCAGCATGTCAATAGTTCTGAGGTTGAGAAACCTTGCTCCAAAGCTCTCATGATCTTGCCAATTTACCAGCTGCCTCACTAGAATACAGTGATGCACGATGTTAATGTTTTGATACTGCAATAAATAAAGTTGCTCTTGAAAAACAATTTATACCAAAAAAGGACAAAATAGTATATCTCTGGTGACACAAGTGCTTTCTTTTGGGGACTTCCCCCCCTCACTGCATGTGTTTATGGGAAACTGCCAATCACAGTGCTCCACCTGCCTCTGAAGGCACAGGCTGATAGATTAAGCTAGCTGGTCCAACCACAGTGTCTATTTCCCTGGCCTGGTTTTGGTTCAGGGTTGGGCAGGACCCTGACAGAGCCAGCTAGAGTCTTCTCTGGGATTTGTCTGTGAATTTTCACAGAGGGCAAGGGTTTTATTCCACTGAGGTTGCTAAGCTGGAATGCTGTGCCCTAGAGTGTGAAGAATACAACAGAGAGGACTTTGGCAGTAGGAGAAAACGAGGTCAACGGACCTAGGGAAGCACTAAAAACCCTGCATGATCCCTGGCAGTCAGCACCACTAACCTTCTTAGTCTCATGAATGAAATTTTTTAAAGAAATTTATTCAAGTTAGTTTGGGTTGAGTTTTTGTCATTTATAATCAAAAGAATGCTGAATAATAGAGTATGCATGCTTTTTCTGACATATATTAAGAAAAAAACTATGTTCCATTCACAGTGTTGTTTCTATTAAAAAGAAAAAGAAGAAGGCATGAGGACTACCCTTGAGGAATGCACATTCTCCTTGAGAGGCAAGGCTAGGATTTAGGAATATCAGAACTTCACCTTTTCATCTACATAGTGGCCTCCTTGAGAGCAGGGACTGGGTTTTCTAGTTCTCCATCCCCGCCCCACAGGCACACCCGGCCCTGTGACTGGCACATGTTTAATAAGTAACTGCTGAATAGCTAAGCAGATGGCACCTGCTGTTATGTTTGTTAGGGCTTTTCTGGACTAATCTTATATACTCTTTTCTCATTTCCTTTCCCTAATGTACAATACTGCTGACCTTTGGGAACCTCATTATATTATTCACTAAAACAGATTCTACAAACTGAGAATTATTCACTGTGATAAAATATGCCATGGTCTACAGAATAGAGGAACTATTTCATAAAAAAGATCTGAAATTTCCTAAACTCATTTAAAATCATAAAACGTGTTAACATTCTGTATTTAACTAAGCCCATAGCTTAGTTAAACTCACCAAAATATAGTAAAAACACAAAATATTCAAACAGAACATAGTTGATTTTTATTGTCCAAAATAGTACTTTCCTTATTTAAAATGCACCTTGGCAAACAAAAGACTATATTTAACCAAACAAATGAGAAATGCGGAACAAATAAGGAATAACCAGTATTTGGAGAGGAGCAGCTGGGAAAGTTTTGATTAAGCTATTTCTGCTTCCAAACAGAAAGTCTGGTTACAGGATCTGTCACAGATATGCTGACTTCCAATATGTTAAACTAAACAGAATTTCAACTCTTTACATCAGCAGCAAAAAATAGTCACAAGATACATAAAAGATTTTAGCTCTTACCACTTTCCTCTGGTCTTGTGTCGATCTGAGGACCTCGAGAGTTTGAATCCCTCCCTCACCCAGAACTTTCTGTTCTCCTATTTTTAGATTCTTGCTTGAATACTGTTTGGTAACCACTCAGAGATGATGATTTCCAGCTTAGTTCCTACCTGGTTCTCAAAAAACAATCAAGCTCTGGGTGGAGGGAGCGTTCAGGTTCAGCCCTGTGCCGTGGGCATTGGCAATCCTGAACAAACAAGAATTGCCTTAATGCTGGGAATCTATTACTGGCTGCAGCAGCTTTTCTGGTTCCAGATATAGTCTCTGTGGCCAAATGAGGTTTAATAGACAGACTCATTCTCTAAATGGTCATCCTGGCCACTGATCATCAGTATCCATGGCCAGAATGGCTGAGTAAGCTGTTGGGCAAGATCCGAGAAGGGAGGGGTCGACAACAGAGTTGGGAACTCTCTAGGCAACAATTAGGAATGATTTACATGGTAGTCTATGTTGGAAATTACACATTTGGACATTTTCCCCTCAGAGGCTGCTCTCCTAAAAAATCTGTCTTGTGCTATGGTATCTTAAACGTGTACCTGCTGTGTTCTGTGGAAGTCCTATCTCCTTCTTGGCACCTCCACAGAGATTCAGGAATGTCCTAAACTTCAGAAAAGAACCATCTGAATCATTCCTTTGCCAACACAAGTGTGATCATTTCTCCAGAGATGATAAAAATCATAGCTTATTATTGTTAAAAGAGATATTAAAAATCATATAACCCAGTCCTTTTATTATATTTATTGGTCATGAAGCTGAGGCACTTTGAAAATTAAGTGGATTATAGTCTACATAATGATGGCCATGGTTGCTAAATTGGCAGTCTAACGTACCCTAGCTGCTAAGATGATAACCCAGGGGGCAGGAGAAATAATGGAACTTCTCTTTACATTTATTTATCTCAACCCTCTATAAGATAATTTCTAAATGTTTAAGAAGAATAACTAATTATGACTTTTATGACCATACAGAAATGACTTTGATGAATGTATTTGGCAATATATATGGTGTATTCAAAATGAACCCCCTAGCATTTTTTTATCCCTTTTTTATGTTCTTTTCCCCCAAAACAGTGATTATCATGTTACAATACTACCTCTTCTACTTATTTACTTTGTTTACAGTCTGTCTCCCCTCTCTGGGAATGTGAGCTCCATGAGGGCAAGACATCACTAGCTACATGGGGAGTTACATGGACTGTATATCAGACCACCAAGAAAGAAACAGTTATTTCCTCTTCTCTTTTCCTTTCCCATGTCTTGTTCCAGAAGTTTATTAGCATGTCCTCTAAGATCACCATCAAATTACTTACTATATGATCTAGGGAAAACATGTCGTTTTTGTATGCCTCAGTTTCATAAGCAAGTTGGACTTGGGCTGGACTAGATAATCTTTTGGTCCCTTCCAGGTATAATATTTGTTCTCTGTTCTATTTCTGGTTCCTAGAACAGAGAAGGCACCCAATAAATATTTTTAAATGAATCTATTAGTATGGTAGTACTGGTATATAACGTGCAAATATAGGTATGTCCGCTGTGAATGCTCAACAACTTTTTATCGGTAAGGGTATATTATTTGTAATGTTTGGAGCCTATGAATTGGGCATTTTTTATTTGAAGTCTGCTGGGGGAACTGGTTAAGGGCTGTAATGAAAAAGGGCACTTGAAGTGAGGGCTCTTCTGTGTGGTGGAGACCGTAACTCCCTGGGAAAAGGATTTTTTATTCTGGACATTTGTCTGAGTGGCCTAGTTCAGTCATGAGAAAGTAGGATAAGTAGGCAAGCATTATTTTGGGTTTAGAGTAGAGCAGGAACTGTGGTGACTGAATGCAGGGCTTCCATTACCTTGAATAACGGGTTTAAAAAAAAAATAGCTCCTTTAAGGATTAACAGGGCAAATTTCTGCTGCTGAGATTCAATTTAGCTGGAGAGACGGTCACAAGTTGCCCCAAACAAGGCCCTGTGGCAGAAAAGAGCAATGAGGTCTTTCAAATAGAATTCCCTGAGGAATAGTAGACTCTTGGCAAATGACCTGGATCCAAAACTCTAAGTTTTGGGAGTGGAGCAGAGGTTGTGGGTTAGGGGACACTCTATACGTAAGGGCAGATGCTCTGCAGGACCTAGCCACGTGGGCTCTGTGTTTTGAGGATGTGCTTTGGAGAGCAATGATTGAACAGTGTGTATGATCTCAAACCTGCTGTCATGTACGTGTCTAGACCTGGCCTTCTCCACAGAGTCAACAGACCCCCATAGGACTGAGCAGGACTCAGCTTCAAAAGTCACACTGTCTGGCAGGGAGAACCAGTAGCCATGGTGAGCTAACCCAAATCCAGTCTTCTCTATTCCTGGTGTTAAAACTTTGTTTGTTACTTGGTAAGTCCTTTAGATACTTGGGCAACTTGAGGTTGGGATGGAGTAATGAATGAGGTGTGAGGTATGGAGATGATGCCCAAGCAAATGACTGGGAAAAAACCAGACAACCAAAAGAGATGTGAAAATAGTTTTACTCTGAGTGTGTATAGGGATTTTCTATAGTTAAATTGTCTTTTTTTTTTTTTTAAACCCGTGAACATCCAGAAGCACATTAGACGTGAGTTCCCATTAACATTGAGGAAGGCAAGTGAGTGGACAAAGTCCAAATTCTGGGATGAGAAAGTGTGAAATTAAAATATATTTTCAGTTCTGACAGTAGGCTTATTTGCATTGTCAGGGTACTTACATTTCCTGACAACTGTTTTTATCTCTTTGGAGGTCGTAGAGATCAAACGTGTGTTAACTTTCCTGTTGTATAATATCATTGATCACCAAGGTAATTTTTATAGGTAAAACAGAGACAAAAGAAATTGCATAAAGGGTCAGATATCTCAAAAGAACCATTATCAAATGTCATATTGATAACACATTGCCTGAAAGCACTTGCTCTTTTTCTTCTAAGTAACATCTAGTTTAAATTAATTTGCTCTTTGCAGTGGCGCATTGCACTGCCCTCCGGAAGAAAGGGAAGGTAAATATTCTTCGTTTTTTGTTACTTGTAGGTCAAGACTGTTGCTTTAGCACGGTGACGCTGCATCAGAGCAATGTGTGTTGGAGTCTCGGACTCCATAAGATGTGGGTCAGGTACTCACATGACAAAGCCCATCCACTGGCCCCTATGACACCAAGTACAGCTCAGAGTGGAAGGTTACTTAGCTTCTCAAACTCAGCCACAGACCCTGAACAATTCTCAGGAAGAGAAGGGCTAATATGAGTGAGGGCAAAAGACATATTTACTCCTCAGTGTTAACGTGTTTATACTCACAAAATGGCAGTTTAACTATTGATGGCACTTACATCTTGGTTAGACATTTCCCAATAAGGTCTCTCTCCATAGGACATGACTTCCCACATGACAATGCCATAGCTCCATGCATCACTTGCTGAGGAGAATTTTCTGTAGGCAATAGCTTCGGGGGCTGTCCACCTTATGGGAATTTTCCCACCCTGGAAAACAAATTGGAGATTTCTCAGCTGGCTCACAAGTGTATTAAAAAATGAAGTGGCAGTCCAATTAAATAACTTTTGTTAGAAAGATCTAAATACTGCATGATAGCATTGGCATTTTAAATAAAAATAAGAGAACCAGAATCATGTTAAATGTCAGAAATATTTTTTCCTATAATAATTATTCAGTGCAAACAACTTTAATGGGAAATAAGTCACACTTCAGAAATACTTCATTTCATTCGTTGGAGAAATTTATTTTCACTTTAGATTCACACAGTTAAACTCACTATCATGCCATTTGAAGAAAGTTCTGGATTATAGAACATTAAAACTAAATATCATTCAACATTCATTAAACATTGTATTACATGTATAAATAATAATGAGAATAAGTTCTAACTTAATTGAAGATAGATGGTTAAATACAGAACTGAGACGTTCTCTGCAATTCAATGTTTATCAGAACTTTCCCTCTTTCTTTTTTATCTATGATTACATTTATTTTAAATTAAAAAATCCTTTAACATTATACAAGAGCACTTGAGAAGGATAATTCTTCTTTAGAACACTTTAGGCTAGTTTATATTCTTGTTCTTCAGTGTTCAAGTTCACATTTGAACATATTAAAGAGATGAAATTGCATAAATTTAATCTATATTGTTCAGGTATTAAAGCCCGCTATTGTGTTATACTTAATTTTTATCAACATTTATTACATTTTATCTCTAGAAACACTCTATAAATCCCTTTTTACTGCAATGACAAGAATAAAACAATTCATCCATTTGATTTACAATCTTTGAAATCTTTGCCGCTCTGAACAGCAAGTCGAGCGGAGGAGAGCACCCCTGTCGCCACTAGATGGCGGAAGAGAACAACGAGCTGCTCCCGGACCGCGGTTTCCCGGACCGCGGTTTCCCGGACCGCGGTTTCCCGCACCGCGGTTTCCCGCACCGCGGAGATGGCTTCTGCTGGCAACACAGCTCTTTTAACTGTCAGAACGCTCCGCGATGGAATTGTTTCATCAATATCAGCATTTCCATGATCACATCATCTGATCGCCCACGGCGCTCAGAGTCCGGTGTGACGGTGAGCGGGGGTGGGAGGCGATGGAGGGTGCATTCTCTGGACCTTGAGGAAGTGAGGTCTAACACCTTTGAAATGTGAAGCCATGAATCGAGTAATCTAAAACACTACTTTTTTTTTTTTTTTTTTTTTTAGTAATCTAAGCATTTACTTGAAGAGAAAAGCGATTCATCCGAAATGGGAATAATTGGGTTTCACCAGGCAAATGAGAGCTTTAATGGAATCCTCATTTTAAAGACTTGTAGCGAGGAACCTTGGGGATAATACCTTGAACTCAATTCCCTGATTTTACAGGTGACTGGCTGAATCTAGGGTTTAGAGATTCCTCCTACTATGTTATCATAGTAGTATTATGGGGTATTGATATAAAGTTGTAAATACTTCATCGTGGGGGAAAAGCTGGGCCAAACGAATGTTTTAACACCGAGCATCTTATAATCATATATCATCGTAGTATAATGGAAGGAAGCCAGAAGCCTGAAGTCTGGGGTGTTCACGCTTCGTGGCAGTACAAAATTAAGGCCAGGAAATTAAATTTACAAAGTTGGTGATAGTAATTTAAGAGGGTGATGGGTGGGGGAAGGGAGTTGCAAGAGAAGGATTCATTTCTAAACCTAGAGTAGAGTTGCCAGATAAAATACAGGACACACAGTTAGATTAGAATTTCAGATAAATAACAAATACTTTTTTTTCAGTCTAAGTATGTCCCATAAAGGAATATATTTTTGTGTGTAAGTATGTCCCAAATATTGCTTGAGACATTTACACTAAAAAAAAAATTCATTGTTTCTCTGCAATTCAAATTTAACTGGGCATCCTATATTTTTATTTATGAAACCAAGCAATGCTATTATAGAACATGAAAAAAATAATTCAGAAATGGAGATATTGTAAATGATCCAACACAACATTAGTGTTCTAAAAAAAAAACAAACAAACTAGTGTGGTCTATACTTCATGAGGGGACAAGGATAGCAGCCTTTGTTTTATGGTCTATTTGTGGCTAAAGCAGCTTGGTCCTGGGGCTCTGCATTTTGAAGCCACTTAAGTTAGGATCAGGTTTGTTCCAATATGGAAGCCACAATTCCAGAGAATAAAGACCAAATTTGTAGAGCTGACTTCAGAATAGATGCAGGAGCAGCAATCTTATTTGACATTTCTGACTCTCATATCTTTCTTTGTCTCTCCGGCAAACAATGCATAGAAGTGTGAATTGCGGGAGCCTGGGTGGCTCAGATGGTTAAGCGTCTGCCTTTGGCTCAGGTCATGATCCCGGAGTCCTGGGATCGAGTCCCGCATCGGGCTCCCTGCTCCTTGGGAGCCTGCTTCTCCCTCTGCCTCTCTCTCTCTCTCTGTATCTCTCATGAATAAATAAATAAAATCTTTAAAAAAAAAAAAAAAAGTGAATTGCTAATCTGCTGGAACTGCTCCTTTGCTAAATCTTTGTGAGTTCTATTAGGACGGGCTAAAAAATGTAGTTAAGGGTTATTTTAGGTGCATTCATTTATAAATGATATCTCATATAAATGATTCACATATAAATTTATATTTCATATAAGTCGGTATCACATGTAAATAATAACTTTTCCCCTTTCCTTTGTAAGATTTTATTTTTCCTCGAGGAGAAGATATTACCGAATATTTGGTTAATAGCATTGCTATCTGTTATGGACTGAATTGTGTTTCCTCAAAATTCATATTTTGAAGCCCTAAGCCCCAATGTGACTGTATTTGGTGGTAGGGCCTTTTAAGAGGTAATCAAAGTTAAATGAGGTCATAAGGGTGGGCCCTCCTCCAATATGGCTACTGTCCTTCTAAGAAGATGAAGAGACGCCAGAGGTGTGTAGGCACAGGGAAAAGGCCCTGTGAGGAACAGCAAGAAGATGGCCATCTGTAAGCCAAGGAGAGAAACCTCAGGAGAAGCCAAACCTGCCCACATTTAGATTTTGGATGTCCAGCCTCCAGAACTGTGAAAAATAAATTTTTATTGTTTGAGCCACTCAGCCTCTGGTATTTTGTTACGGTAGCCCTAGCAGGCTAATATACCACCCTTAGAAAAAACCAAAATTTTTTTACCTAGGATGAGCAACATTGCAAAATGGACAGTACATCTTTATTTCAAATTCTATGCCAAGTGCCGTCTTGAAATGGGAAGTGTGAGCTAGACTAAATCTTACAGATGAAAAATCATCACAGAAGTTTTAAGGTAGGAGATATAATTCTAACTAATAAAAATGCATGGTAACAAGAACCTGACAGTATGCACGGACTTCAATAATTCTGAGCATATATGGGATGGAGATAAGGAAGCTTTCAAATCTTTTTTTCTAGTGGGTGGATACAGACTGAATACAGTCGACCTCTCAGTGTAAGATAAGGCTGAGAGGGAGAGGTCCCTAAGATTACCACATGGTCTCTATCCCCTTTCCTATTTTAGAGGAAACACAGAAGCTTAGTTCTTTTCCTTTTTTTTTTAATTGAATGGACCAACATAACATTTGTGGCTTAATCTCAGCTACTCATTTTTGCCTATGATCCCAAATCATAGACAGAGGTAATGCACTAAGTTACTTTTTTTCTCAAAGCATTAACCACCAGATGTTTATTTTAGGTTTCAGGAATGAACAAATAGTACTTTAGATTTGAAATCACAATCATTGGAACATTACATGTTGTTTTACCATATGTTTATGCGGGGAAAAAAAGTTACCAGTGATGCTAATCAAAATGACTGAATGCAACTCTAAAGACTTCTTATTTCCCGGTACTTCCCTTATGCTGGGAGCTTAATCATTTAGGGAACAAAGGAGGAACAGGAAGTAAGCAAACTGGATCTGGATGGCTACTGAAAAGATTGTTAGCAACCCTTTTTTCCTCTTTTTTAAGTCCTATCCAGAGCTTGCTGTCTAAACTAGGGTCACAGCAGAGAAAGTCCTGAAGAAATGACCAGGAACCCTGTATTATACCTGTAAACCCTCTACCCCCTGAGGAGAGTTGCATTATAGTTGTATTTAACATCTGAGGTAATAGAACCTGACCCTCTAATCATCAGTGCAGGAGACAATCAATTGAAATATAGTAAGGTTACAAAGGCTTAATACTGAAACCAAACGGAAAACTTCCACTGAAAAACAAGAACACTTAAATCTCTCTCCATTTCTCATTCACTGGATTTGACGGTTATCTTAAAGGCAAATGGTTTGAATAGGCAACAATCTGCCTGCAGACTTTTTCTTTTTTCCTTAATCTATCTCTGTGGTACCCAAACGTCAAGGGATATAAGAATTACACTACAGAAAACATATATACTTTGCTTAAAGATTAATTTAAGAAATTTCTAACAATGATTCTAACTAAATATTTTTCTTTAAGAACTGCAAATCCTAAGTGGGATGAAACTGTTCTACAATCCATTGTGTGACTTTGGGCAAGCCTTAACTCTGAGTCTTATATTTCAGATGAGGGGATTTGAAATAATGATCATAAAATAATAAACTCGAGTGAGTTTTAATATGTGCCTACAGTTTCTTGGCTCCCATTAAACGGAGTAGATAGGCCATCTGAGGTGGTACTGAGTTCATGTAGACAGACGGCCGGATGACAGACAGACGAGGGCATAAGCACACTCTTGTTTCACATCCCAGACCAATAATTAATGGTCACAAGGATCATCCTGAGTCATAAGGAACGGTTAAAATAAATCACTTTTAGTTTAAGAAGGCAACAGCATGAAAATACATATTAGAAAGGCATGAAACCAGGACATTGATCTTTCCCCCTTTTTGCTTTTTCACTCTTCATGGGTTAAAATACACTTAATGAGCAACCACTGGTTATTTGGAAAACTCATTATATAGACACTTCCTGAGGTCAGATGAAAGAGGCATTAGTTTGTTTACTGAAAGGTCATT